GATCTTATAAAAAATAAATAATTTGGATTCCTAATATATTTTTTATAATAGTAAACAGTATAAAGTTTTCACTGGCATAGTTCATTTAACTTAAACTTAATAGATAATATCTGATAAATTAAGTTTTTAATAGTTGCGGCGTATACATATACCGGGTTTACCCTATATGCTGTTTCCGTTGATTCAACGTCTATGGATCTATCATGTCTGCCTGGATTACGCTTTATCTGTAGTGTTATATATAAACTATATTGGTTAACAGTTTTTATACAAGTATAAACTTCCCTTGTAAAAAAGAACTATTAGTGCAGTGATAACACTACTACATTTCAGTTGTGTTTTTACTGCATTAGTAGTTCTTTTTTACTAGGACTCTCGGTGACAGTATATCATATTTGCGTGACACAAATCCTTTCGCAGTAGACGAAACTTCTTATTCACTGTCATTACGATGGAAAACAAACGTAATTATGGTGACAGTGTAGTGCACGTTTTGCAAGAGTTGACCAGCGAGGATAAAAAATATGCGGAGGAAAATTTAAACGAAACTGATGAAAATAGAGGGAATGCCGTCGCAGAAATTAGAGGCTGGATGAAGGACGAAATGTGCATACTAATCGGTAAAAATGACAGACGTTTCACGCGTTGTAATATCATTTAATAAAATTCAATTATGATTTTTTACTTTTGGCGCAATAATACGCTTAATTGCCTTTAATCGGCGTGATGTTAAATCTGATACTCATCTTGTTGAGTTCATTCTTAAACGTGCAATAAAAGAAAGTAAGATAAAATAATGTAACAAAATATCTGACTTCTTTATGGAAAACAAAAAGAGCAGTCTAAAAATTTTGTTAAGTAAAAATAAATGAGGAAAAAAATAAAAACTTGATATAAAAATTTATTTTAAAATGTTCATGATTATCTTACTGCATTTCGACATTTTCTGTATAATTTTTCGACTGACTTGGTTTTTTTTTTAATCAAAAAAGAAAAAAAAAGTTATATATATATATATATATACATTTAGATATTAGACATTTTTAAAAATCATGTTGCTTTTTATACACACTTAGAAAAATATAATTTAATTTATAACACTTAATAATAGATTTAGAAATGCTTTTTATTTCCAAATAATTCTGAATTTGTATCTAGATGATTTCCTCATCCTGCGATTCTTGAGAGTTTGCAAGTTTAACCTCGAGAAAACTAAGATCAGGATACGAAATTATTATAAGCAGCGATCTGACTTGCCGGAATGGTACATGAATAAGGATCCATTTCAACCGGAATTAAAGGAGCTGCTTGATATGGGGTAACTATTTCGGAGTGAATGTATAATTTAAATAAAATCTTTCTTCTATCGGGACATAAATTAGATTATCCAATTTAAAATAATTTACCTTGAAGTATTTTATAAATTTTTGCATCTTGATAATTATTAATGCTAATTTATCTTTTATAAAGGGGAGGTTACAACATGCTGCAGTTAATGCTGCACTTTATTGACAAAACTCAACTCTTTTATATACTAATTTATATTTACTTTAATAAATATAAGTTTTATTAATATAAATTTTATTAATAAATATAAATTTTTTTAAATTGATCACTGGGAATTAACAGCGAGTTTCTTTATTTTTTATTTATAAAGATTGAATGATACATAATAGAAATCATTATAAGTTGAAACTTTTTTTATGACCAATTTTTATGACAAATTGTTTAAATTTGTGTCAATTACATTACTTCTACTTTATAATTTAGTAGAAACGTTTTATTAAAGTTTTTGTATACAATTAGATGCATCGCCGTAAAATTACTCTCTCTAAGTGAATTAGTGAAATTATCACTAATTTTCAGTATTTACAATTGTGATAAATAGTGAGTGATTTCAATATTATTGTGATAACATACTGATTCAAACAGCAAATATCTGAAAGACAGTGATTTTTATTGTCAAACGGTATTGAGAATTGAAAATCAGTGATGATTTCCTTGATTCACTTTTAGAGAGTAAAATTGACTTCTGCGAATATGTTTCTAAAATATTTCGGTTAGGTTGGTTTTGCCTCTGCGGAAACTGGATAGTAGAGGAAGATTGGTTTTCATAGTACGCGTTACTCGAAGTGATCCGACAATACACAAACTATTTGACTTAATTAAGGTAAAAATTGGAATAACAAGTAACAAAGTATTTTTAATGTCGTCATAAAATATTTTCCATTGTTTCTCAACAAATGATTATTTTATCAGATCTGTGTAATTTTGGCAGAACTAACGATGAAGAATAACGCCATAGCATCTGTATATGGTTTCGTTGCGTTCTTTGACTTGATTAATGTAACATTGCGACACATAGCTCAATGTCCACCCCATGTGTTAATAAATATAGTACACGCGTGGCAGAGCTGCTATCCTGTGAGGATGCAATCGATAAACTTTATCAACGCACCGACAATTGTCGATGGTATTGTCAGGATTATGAAATCTTT